GCAAGGTAAAAGAATCTCGGATGCTGGGGGTTTTAGGTTATAAGGGGAGATCCACGACAAAGTCTCACATCCAACCGCAGGATAGAAAACCATATAGAGACGAGTGGGGTGAAAGAATTTTAATGAGGAGGGAAAGGTAAAGGGGAGCCGGACAAAAGTCACTTACCCAGTTCACTAGTGAAGGTCAGCACATGCTCATTGTTTTGCGTCACGAGGGGAATGTAGTCGTCGGAATTGATGAAGACGGCGCGATCAAGCTGGGAAAGGATAACGGTTGTGGGGCTGGCTTTTCGTATCCATTGCTTCAATAGTAGAAACTCATGAATAAAAGCTGTCCATACAGGGACGCTGAAAAATAAAATAAACCAAATATATGTAAGTCACGACTTCGGTCACTTAAATTTCCCGTTTACGCAATCGAAAAAAAGAAAAAGATTCCTCTTGGGATCAGATGCAAACAAGGTGGAGAAGGGAGTGATCAGTATAGACGTACTCCGCCATGTCGCCATTAAGAACAGACGCCTGTAGGCGTATCACCTTGGTAACGGGATCGCGGAAAATACGAAGGGCGTGTAGATAACCGTTATCGTGAATACGACTGTGCAGATAATTGATAAGTATCAGGTCGCTTGAGTGGAAATGCTATCTCGACTTCAGAGCTATACCTACCCCGCGTAAAATTCCTCCTCATCCAAGGTAAACGAGTCAGGGACGCTGTTCACCATATGGCCAGAGTCCTGCCCTCGAAGCGCGATGAATGCACAATGAAACAAGATCATTTCTGGAAGGGTGGTTAGGTATGAGATCCAAAGAGAATAGATATATGAAGAGAAGGGGTAAAAAACAAGTGTCCATCTTGCGTACTTTCGATTGTATCAAATTGGAGACTCAACCACGCCTCCAACTGGCCTGATTTGTCCTTCAAACAGAGTCGGAGGTATGAAGCTGTCTTATCACGGGTAATATGGATTTTGTTAAGTGGTTGTGTGGCATAATATATCTTCGATGGCGAAATGCGGACTTGGCACATGATCCTTGCGCGATGATCACGGTCACGCAAATATAACATGGCAGTCAGATTTGGGTTGAAGTTCCTTAAAAAAAGCTAAGTTAGAGAACCAAAAAAACAGATATATTTTTACTCTGTTTCCTTTGTATAAAAGAAAAAGGAAGCTGTACTCACAATCGAAATAATTCGTCATATTGAGTTTCTAGATGACCAAGTACGTTGGGCAAGGAACTAGAGGCATGACATCTCGAACTGCGAATAGGATTAGAATGCGAATTTTATTTTTAGTTTCATTTTTATTTTTATTTTTGCCTAGGGGGAGAGAAAAAATTAATAAAACAGTAACAAATAAAACCAACCCTTGGCTGTCCTGAGGCAACGAAGTTGCGGAGGTAAGGCGACTAAACAATGACACAGCCCAGTGATCAAATGGATCAAGAAACGAGAAAGAATCCGTGCTGGTAGAGTCCGCCGTCAACGGTGACTCAGGTGCACTAAATGAAGAAGGAGGACTTTCAGCATCAAACCAACCAGGGGGGTGTGGAGACTGAAGTCGACTCTGCGGCCTTCGCCGTTCGTATGAGCGTTTCAGGGTTGGGATCACAGGCGCTGCTCCTGCTGGTTTGCGGAGCGAGCTCTTTAATTGTTGCGTACTAGGACGGTGACGTAAATCAGGATGTGGTGCGTGGGGTGCTGGAGGGGGGACGGGTGGCTGAGGTGCATGAGGGATGGCAGGGGCCGCAGGTATTGAAGGGTCGGGAGGCCTCGCGTTGTGTGCAAATTTTGCCTGCTGCTGCCGTTGGTGCGCTGCAGCAGCATATCGCCTATCCTGGTTCACACGAAGGGTATTTATGGCTTGGCGGAGGTTGTTGAGCGTCGCTGGATCTCCTGGCTCACTAGAATTGAACTAGAGTTAACAAAGATAACGTGCTTTGCGGGAATATCAATTAACCTCGAGTATGATAATAGCAAGATAAGATCATAGGGAGATCAGGGACGGCCTACTTTCTAATGACCAGAACTATCTCCGACAGCATTTTCTGGTAGTATTGGAGCCGAATCAGAAGGGGGTACCCTGCTTCATGGAGATAGTAATCACGCAGACGGAACCAGGTGTCTCGAATATTCTGCTGAAAAACCAGGACCCCGGCGCCATCATCCATTGCAACAAAAAAGTCATTGGCCACCCGGATGGTATGGTGAAGACTCGCCCTCACAACCAGTTCTACATCGTTGATGATGAAGCTAAAGTTGGGTCTCAGCGGGGAATTATGTAGAGTTTCTAGAGAGCGGAGACTGGCGCTGATGGTAAAGAGCTCTGAGATTACAGCGGTGATATTGACAGCATCCTCTGGCACATGTGCGACAAACTTGCTGAGTGTGGCTGCGACATTATCAGTCTCCGCGGCAGATTGCAGGAAACCCATACTGGCACAGTTGACCGGCACAGTTGACCGGGTCAATGGCAGGCCATCACAGGCAGAAGATCTAAAGGAAAGAGGTATACATCCAAGGGTTGAACTATGCGCTTGAAGTAAATATAAAGCAGGTGTAGTAGGGATTGTGTAAAAAAAAATTAAAAGAAAAGAAAAGAAAAAGGAAAGAAAAAGGAAAGGAAAGGAAAGGAAAGGAAGAAGATGTCCCAAAAAATATATAAATATGAATCAGAGCCGCCGGAAAACCGCCCGGCTACATAGAGATCCCTCAAGCACAGAAACGAGTGGGGGGGGGATAAAATATGAAGTTAGAAATAGAATAGAAATAGACGCGGCTCAAGGGGGACTTTTAGGTCTTCGAGGCAGATCAGCGGGTGAGTTGGCAACCACCAAGCCCGCATCTGCCTGCTAGCCCCAAATCAGCCTAGCTGTGGCCCCTCAATTGTTCGAAGAGTGCGGATTAGTCACCCCTCGGCAAGCAAATCAACAGGCAAACCTGACGCTGTCCATGGGGCCCATTGGGCTTGACCATGCGCGGTTCCCAATTCCTTCCATCGCCAATTGCCAGGAGACCACATTCTTGCTCGGGCACACAGCGTCTCTAAACTTCGTTTCCGAGAACTCCACGTCCAATCGGTTTTTTCTCTGCGGCGTTGTCAGTCTCGCTTGGTGCTGATGCACCTGTAACTCTCCGACACCACCTCTCGCCAGCCAGCGCAGAACTGCGGATGTTAAACTAATTACTTGACATGGCACTGTCGGCTCAAGTCACTTCTGCTGTGCAGAAATGCACGGAGCAGAACATCCCCACTCTCAGCTTCATGATGGTTGAAAGGAGTGCTGGCGTCGGGTCATCTGGCTAATTTCTAGCACACTGGCCCTTGTCCACAAATGGATGTGCTTTCTTGGAGAGAGAGGCTTGCTGATTGCTTGAACTGCTTTGTAGTGGGTAGGTCCATTGCCTTTTTTTTTTTTTTTTTTTTTTTTTTAAGCAGTAAATGGATGTTATGGGATGGACTGTACATACATTCCTCAGGAGGTTCCTTTTGGTTCTCATAAATTCCCTCACCAGCCATTTTATACTCTTTCTAATACGGCTGAGCCGACCGGAAGATTTCGTATTAAAAATCTATAAATAAAATCATCAAAGAGTGAATCCACAAGGCTGAAACCAAGTCAAGCCGTGAAAAACTCTTGTAATTCTTAATTAGAGCCGTCAAGCTAGCCCTGGAGGCAAAGTAAAGACAGACACAACTTACCAGTCATCAATGAGTCAGGTAGTTAAAACACGCCTCTTTTTCGAACAACTTCTTCTTGAGAACCCAGTCCATTCTCGCCTTGTATGGTCGCGAGAAACTAAATCACTGCGCCGCCTTCATTGGCTCAGAGTCAAGGCATTCCCAGGAATTGACCTTGGGGGAAGATTTTATATACAGAGATGCCTGAATGTTTTCCCAATCCTTCCGGAAGAACTTTTATCCACCAGAGCAGATCACTTGATCTCACGCGCCACGGACGCGTCTTCGATAGGGACTTCTACCACTCAGTTGTGGTTGGGACTAACGATGTAAGGCAAAAGCGAGGGTTGGATAGACGGTATACTAGTGTCAGCAACTATCACGTAGGTACCCGTAGCATTCTGCATCAATCCATCAATCGATCTCAAAGTCTCGAAGACCCAACTTACCCAAGATTCCGGGAAAATCTGAGGCGAAATCTATAAAAGAGATACTTAGGTATGATATATGCCAAGATAGAGAACAAACGCGGCAAATGAGATTGATTTTCTTTTGTGTAAAGCTAGTGTACAAAATAAAAAGGGGGGATTGGAGGGAGAGATTATTTGGCTGTTCATACTTGCGCATGGACTGGCCTTGGGAGAGAGGGTAGTCAATGGTTGGAGAAAAAAGTACAACTTGTTTTTAAAAATTTGCTCCCACGAACAAGTCATCGGGTCCATTTCGAGAGATCTGGCTTGGTATGGAGGGATTGATTACAGCGGGGAAGATGCGTGAATTCTCCCAATTTTTTTTCTGCCCTGACCCCCCCTTTTCCGATCCGAAGTCTGCACAGCCATAGAGACATCTAAAACATACAGCGTAGAACCACATTTCAAGCAGGCGTGGAAGGAAAGGGAAAGGAAGAAGGAAACAGAAGAGAGAAAAACCAAACAAACAATTACCCGATTAACCCCTTCATTAGAACAAAGAGAAAAAGAAAAGAAATGGAAATGGAACTTGCGAACCAGTGAGGAATATGAAGGAACACGAAAACAACGAAAACCCGCAAATTTGACTAACCACCCGTCATTCCCATCCCAGCAGAACAAGAGAGAAAAAAGAAGGAGAAAAGAATAAAAGAAAAGAAAAGAAAGTAAAAAAAGGAACCATTCGAACCGATTTAGCACGTGAGAAACACAGCAGATAGGTAGAGCAAGTTGACACGCACGACATGAACAAGGACTAAGGGCATATAATAGATGCCTGCCATCACGGTGGAACCCATATGCTTATGGGATCACACGTGCATCGACAGACTTCTACATATATTTTTACTTAAGAGGACTCGTCTTCGTCCTCGTGCGCCTTGATGGATAATCGTTAGTACACGGAAAATTACGATGAAAAGGTAGGGGAAGGATAAGGCAACATTGAACATACATTGTAACTGGCTTTTTCATCCTCATAGCGTTTCTTGTCGGCAGCAGCCTTGGCTTCATACGGAGCACGCTGCTTCTCGTTCAACGCCTTCCATCTCTCTCCAAGGACCTTGCCAACCTGGCCTGCACAAGGAAGACGGGTCAGATCAGATGTCTCTAAGTATGGAGACGATGGTATAATGAGAGGGAAGAGAAGGAAATGACATACCGAAAGAAATTCCAGGATTCTCTTCCCGGACGTTATCGCGCTGCTCATTGGCGAAGAACATGTAGGCGGATAGACCGCGTTTGGGGGCATTAGGGTCTGTGAGTTGGGGATGGGGGTAACAGTGTTAGAAAACGGGAACTATATATGGTCGCGATTTCTGGCGCGCAATGGAATTGGGACGGGGGTTGAGTCTTTGACATACCTTTCTTCTTCTTCTCGACGCCGCGAGTCTTGCTTTTGCGACTGGAAACCTTTTCCTTGGGCATGTTGATGGATTGTGTGCTTTGTTGTTGGTTTGGTGCTGCTAGGTGAAAAGGGGGGAATGTAAATGTTAGCTACGTGCTGTAGTCAACTTTGCCAAAGGCAGTTGCTGTAGAGACTAGGTAGCAATGAATCGACGCGTAAGGGATGTTTTGTCAATGGCAGGAGAAGATGGGTTGTGGAAGGGTAGGTGTAGTGCACTCCTGATATGATATGAAATGAGTGAGGTTGGGATGCGTGTATATATATATATATATATATATATATGCATGGTGGTTGGGCTGCTAAGAGTCGCGTCATGGAAAAACAGGCGCTGCAAATGAGAGACCTCTCCAAGATACAGCAAGCTCAATCGACTTGTTTGGAGACGCGACGGCTCTCCAATGGATGCATATTTTTATACATGCGCGAGCTCTCCACGTATAAATTGAGATTGTAGAGATAGAGATAGAGAGCTAGAGAGCTCAGAAGACATAGCTGGCGCCATGGCGGGGTTCATTGGGAGAGAGCAGTAAATAGTATACATTTTGCTTATATGATATGGGACAGCGACAATGCGTTTAGAAAAACCGTGTCACAAGCCATTGTGTTTGGAGGAGAGAGTGGTGGATGGGAGAATATTCAAAAGAGTTGTTGAGGATAGGATAGAAGGTTATGAAAAGGAGAGCAAAATTAGTAGGGGGGCATTTTACTTACTGAAAAGCGTTGTACTTTCTTATGATTTTGTATTGGTTGGGGGGAGGGGGGGGGAGGGGGGGCGCGGGTTTTACTATGGGTTGCGTTTGGAGGGGAAGAAAATGGCAGCGAAAAGTTGTATGGGAGAAATTTGGTGAGGGAAAATGGGTGTGAGGTGAAGAGAGTGAGTGAGGGAGAGCAGCGAAGAAAAAGAGCGAGGGAAAAAGGGCAGGCGGGCCGCCTGGCTGGCTGGCTGGCTGGCTGGCTGGCTCTCTCACTTGGGCTGGCACTGAGGCAAAACTGGGCGAGACCAGGCCAAGGAGGCAAGAGAGGGGGGAATATCTGCTGGGAAACAATCAGTCGTACCAGCCGTACTGTCATTTAACCACTCCATACCACACAACCACCAAGGGGAAAAAAACCATTGCTGACCCGACCCGTCCAGTGCACTCGCGATACCACCACCGTATGATACATACACATCGGCCATACCACGGCACCACCAACAGAATCAGGCAAAAGGCAGGCGAGAGGGAAGCGGTGGGCCGTGGCAGTAATTATCGCAGGTGCGTGCTGATTTAAAATCCCCTCCAAGCCAGGTTGATCTCTCCACCGTCGCCTGCCAAGTCGTGCGTGCTGATTAAAATCCACTCGTCGCGTTTGGCGTGTTGCCTCTTTCTTGATCATTGCTGTAATTAAATCAGTGGTGATCCAGGTTGATCAGAGTCGCTTCCCATTACTTTTAAATACAGATTTATTACTCTTCCACTCATACCCGGTGGTTAAGGCCGTTGCAGGTAACAGCAATTGATCAAGTCCCTTATCCCCTCCTCGCCGTGTGTTTTGTAAACAAAAATTAAATTGGTGATGCCCCATTTATTTGCTCATTGTTTCATCCATTCACTCACCTACCCACCCAAACCCATTCCATCCACCTTTTCACCCGTTGAATAGGTATTTTAATCGTGATAGTTATATTCTTTGGTAATTCGGCCCCCATCCATTTCAGTGGGTTAGCCAACAAGCAACCACTCTATTTATACGGTCGTTGGCAGACATAATTTTGTGAGGGTTATATACCGTACCGAATTTAGCACTAGGATCGTGGTAACCAGTTTGTACACACCAGTACTCAACGCCAGCGTAAGAGGGCACGGAGTTGAGGGGGGAAATAACATCAATCCATCAATCCATCCATTAATCGACCATATCATCGTGCTTCAAAAACCATAGATTTACGTGTTCCTGCACTTGAACAGAGTGAATGGTCCGTAGTTAAGAGAGAGAGAAAAGTCGTCTGCCAGTCGTAACTCGATATAGTAGTTGCTGGGACACAAACAAGCCAGTATCAGGCGGGCCAACTCAAGCCGGATGCGATCCACACACTATCACACCCACCGAGGTGTTTGTTGCTGGTATCCATGAGCAATATATTATCCTGTATGATTCAAGGATTGCACCGAGTAATGATGATCCTGCAAAAAAGCGAGGCGGGACTTGCTGAAAGAGGATGTTCCTAGCCATTTGTGATACGGCTATTTGGGCTATCTGGGATGTTTTTTTTTTTTTTTTTCAAACTATTTTTCTCTAATCAAATATCAAACTTGAGGGCTTACTATTATTAAACTGGCTACGTTGCTTCGATACATACAAAACTCTGCACATAGGATGCGTATATAACAGAGATAGGGCTTTGAGATACAACAGTTAGTTACTCAATACACACCCCACCAAGATTTTTTATGTGGCTTTTTACGACGGACACCAGAGCATGCAAATAATACGCACTACAATAGACGGGCATAATGTTGAAATAACTAACCAGAATGCATGGAGCTAGAATTGACTTGCTTATGGTAGCGTGATCACTAGTTAGTTACAAACACCCTTTTCTTCATCTCCTCATCACACATCACTGCTTCATGGTTCATACAGCCCCATGCATGTATGTACTACTGTTCGGAGATCTTTGCACAGATGGGTCGCCCAAGTTCTCAGTTGAAGTTACCTTCTATCTCAGCTAGCCACTCCCTGCCCCCAAGGCCTGCTGCACATGAAGACTGTTTATGTTGTTCAACCCTCGACAAACCTTCAGTAAAACTCCACATTCTGATCTATTTACCTGGGTAGTTGTTCTTGTTGTTTTGCCAGTTGTTGTTATGTTGATTGTTTTTGTTTATTTGCTATTTCAGCTCTTCCTCCTTTCTCTTTCGGATATTACTGTTGTATGTATATATATATATATATATATATATTTGACCGTTTAAGTTCATGCGTCGGGTCTTGAACCTTTTCTTTGAGGCCTGCCATTGATCTCTAGGGTGAACCCTGTAACCAATTCCGGATCGATCCATTTTGCTCCAGCCCGTCGTTAGTTATCTCATTATCCAATATTACTCATGCTTTGGCACGGGCTATTTTACTCACAGTAAGCAGGGACAGTTTCGAGTGACTGTCCCGCTTGACGGGATTCTTACTGACAGAGAATACTATTTTATTGTCGGGAATGGGCCTATGCAGATAGCTTTATATATCCATATTTCGTGACGGTTAACTTCCAAGGTTAACTTCTTTTTTCTCCTAGGCCAGTATCCTGTTGTGCCGGACTGGGAGTTTCCTCACCAGAATCCTGGCTTCGGACTCCCATCTCTTTTTCTGCTGTCGGCACAAATCCTCGCTGTGGAGTTACCAACTTCTCAATCATAGAGGATGCCTATCCTGTTCCGAAGGAATAAGCTACTTGGTATATAAGAAATGAAATGGAAATATATTGTATCCTTCACTTTAGACCCGACATCCATGGATGTTTTGACAAACGATCTCTTGTTATCGTCACAAAAGTACAGTCGAAGCAGAGACCGACGCTTCTTCTGTCACCTGATATGTCTCACATATCCTTTTAGACGTCGCGTCGTAGCCGATTGCTGGAATACATATCACAATACTCTTGTCCAATACCTCAATGATAGATGCCAAAGCTATCTTTTTGCACATTTTGCTTGGGCTGTTCTTTTCATGTGAAGGATTTCGTCACGGTTGGTAGCGCTCGTCATATCATTCCAGTTCATGAGTCTGTTCCATGAGTTGGGTTATTGGGCGGAATGGAAGGCGGAGTTCCTCAGTGGAACTCAGCTTAGAAATAAGTTCTGCGGCGAGGAATCAATGGGCGCAATCCAGGAGAGGTGAAGGATTGACGCAGACACTACAGCAGAGTACGGCAAATTTATGGAATCCAGTGAGGGCAGCGATGCTTGCGTGGCTGACGGTATGAGGGACGATGTGTTTCAGGAGTGGGTAGCGAGAGGACAGAGAGGGCTGCAGCAGACACCGAGTGCGATGAATCGGGTTCGCAAGGGAGTTTCCCTACGGCAGCAGAGAGCAGGATATTAGACCTGAGTCTACGGATGGAATGAATGAAAATACCTGGACCCCTGCCGGGATTGTCTGTTCTATCAATTTATATGTAGAGCTAACCACGCATACCTCGTCCCATTAAAAGTATTACTGAAATCGACTCATCACACAGCGTGAAACAGAATAATTTACAGATGAAACCTAGGTCGACTGGGATATGAAAGATAAGTGACTTAAAAAGAACAGCACTAGGCGTATGCTTAGATTCATGAACAGCTTGATGCAGCAAGTGCCTGAACCATTAGGAAGAGCGAACTTTACTGGCGAAGAACTGCGAGAGGCCAACAAAAACATCGTGAATGATTATTAGGAGGACTGTCTGGAGAGATGGGATGATATGACCGGAGCGTTGCTAGGCCCAGGCTAGCATGATGTACTGTGTTCTAGCTATCTAAGGGTGAAATGCTAAGCCTTTTTCCAGAGCCTCGTAGGTCTATATATTAACACATCAGAATAATTGAAACTAAACTGTGGCAAACTTCACTTTTCCAGGTACCAGCTTGTCTGACATATGATATGAATCCAAAAAACCAGAGTCGTGAACTTGGTTCCAGCTCCCCCCAACAGGCAGGGCGGCAGGTAAGAAACTACTAATGACCTCAAGTCATGTTATCAATAGAATAAGCGTTGGAGACACGGAGCGGCAGCCTCAAGATAGTCCCACTGCTTCCACCTCCACTCTGAACAAGAAGACCAGGCCGATCGGCGAACAAGCAAATTCAGACTTACATTCATTCCTCCATGTTTGGAAATCCGTACGGGAATTGCATGGTAAGAACGAACATATAACCCCACGTTTTGTATATGCCGCTAAGGGGGTGTGTGGATGTTGTTCCGTCCGTGCGTTTTCTTCCTGTTCCATTTTATCGAGGAACAAGGTTTAATTTGAGCGGGTGGAGGACATCGGTAATCAAGT